TGCTCTGGGGGTGTCCTTCTGCCACCCCCATCTCAACACAGCACCCCTGCATGGACAAAGTGGGGTGTGCAATCAGCCAAACCCAGAGTGGAGGAAATTCTGTCTACAGAACACGTCACTGTGGTCTTACACGAGGAAAAAGAACAGAAGGGGAAAAAAAGGATGGAGAGGCCCTTACGGGTTGAAACTTGCCAACCCAGTGGAATGTGGGGACCTCGTTTAGATCTGCTTTGAACAAACCAGCTGTAAACAGATGTTCGTGTAGAGCCCTGGAGACTGGCTGCATGACGCGGATGTCTCACTACTCAACCACACACGCAAGAGAGGGGAAGATGGCACACTTTTGGGCACGTGCATGTCCCACAGTTTTAAAAACTTTTTAGAGATATTCATGGACCAGTTGGGGAGTGTGAGCACTGACTGTATGGGAGACGACATTAAAGGATTATTAATTTTTAAAGTGTGATAATGATATGAACAGGGTCTTGATCTCTTAGAGATACAGACAGACCTACTTACAGATAAAAGGATATAATGTGTGGGATTTGCTTTAAAACAATTCAGAAGGAAGGGACACATGCGGAGATAAAGATGAACCAAACTGGCCATATTTGTTGAAGATGGGAACATGGGTGTTCATCCTCTCTTTCTTCTTTGGGTGCATTTGGAAATGTCCATGATCAAAAAAAGAAAATAAATAAATAAAAAGTAGAGCCCCTCCCTGAAGCCTAGTTTTTTCCTGGTGGGACATACCGCCGAGAGCCTTGTGTGCTTGTCTCCCTGGTGTGGGGACGCCAGGGAAGCGGGGCTGTCTCTCCCGTTCACGGCTGTATGTTCTTGGCTGTATGTTCACAGCTGTGCTCCCAGCACCTGGAGCAGCGTGTGCGTCTCAGCCAGCTCGCAGCCGTGGGCCTGGGTCAGCGTGGCCTCTTGAGCCTGAGCCCCGAACCACCTGTCTACAGACAGCTGTTTCGGCCAGTCCTGACCTCGGAGGTCCGTGGGCATCTCTCAGAGGCAAACTGCTCACCTATGAAGATGCAGTTGCTGTGGCAGGGAAGAGGACTCGGCCCAGTCCGAGAGAGGGAGTGGGGGGACAGGGCAGGGTCTGGATAGGAGAATCACCCTCCGCCCCCAGAGTGGCCCAGGCTCACATGGACACCATGGTGCCAGTCACTGCTTTTGTAGCCTCCAGATGCTGAGCCCAGCCTGGGCCATGGTCACAGGTCGCTGAGTGAGGCCACGGTCAGCAGGCAGGGCCCACTTCGGGGCCCAGGAGCCAACTTCGGGAGAAAAGGGGCAGGTGAGCAGCAGGCCTGCCTCCACCCTGAAAGCCCTCAGCTTGGCCCACAGTCACTGTCACCTGGGACAGGTGACATGAGCACCCTTCCACATCTGCAGTGAGCCCTCCCAGCTGGCACTGCCAGGCACAGGGCAGGATCCCAGCAGGTGCCAGGACCTGGGGAGATTCTGGAAATTGGGATGATGAGGGCCCTGGGCCCCGCCAGCAGAGTGCTGGGGCGGGGGTTGGGGTGGGTGCTGCTGCTGAGCGTTCACCACTGTGTATGACCTTCCTGTCCCCCTCCTGAGTCCACCCCACCCTGCCCCCGAACCTGCAAGTACCTGAGCTCTCATGGGACAATGTCAAGTCTTCCTAAAGCAGAACTGGCCACACAGAGCAGAAGACAACAGCTCTGGAGTCAGACCTGGGCTTGGCCTGGCTCTGCTCCTTTACTGGCGCTGAAATGTCAGGCAACTCACCTGGTTTGCCTTCCGTGCCTCAGTTTCCTCACCCATATAACAGGCCCACTGTGGGGTGACCCACAGTGGAGACCAGGGTGCAGGGCCTGCCCAGACCCTGCAGTTCCTAGCACAGTATCCGCTCGCGGGGGTCTTCATTCGTGTTTGTGGAATCTGACCCACAGGATGGTGGCTCGATGGGCCCTTGCTGCTCTTGCTTCTTGAGCTTCCTAGGTGTGGAGCCCGAGGGGATCTGAGGCATTGACAGGTGTCGGGGAGGCCAAAGGCCTGTTCTTCTTCCCCCTCCAGAGGCCAGTGTGTTCTGTGCAAGGCGCGATGACGCTGCTCCCGCAGGGGATGAGGGGACTGACCAGATTCTATATAAAGGCTCTGGGCTGAGGCACCTGCTTCCAAGGAGGTGGGGAAACAGACACCCTGGGGTGCAGTGGTGCCCACCTTACCTGTCACCCCACTTGCAGGCGGCAGCCCCCTCCCACTTGTGCTGCCTTGGGGAGGTCAGCTGGGGGCCCCTCCCCACCGGACACAGAGACGCTGCTGTCCCATCGGAGATGCGCTCCTGTCCCAGGCCCCCAGCCCCCTACCACACCTCAGGGGTGGGTCTAATGGACTTTGCAGTTTGCAGCCATGCGGCAGCCCAGCTGTGTGGGGTGGGGGTGGGGGGGCTCAGGGACTGCATTCCATGCAGGAGAGGGAGGTCGCAGAGCCTGGGCCCAACCAGCGATGCAACCAGGGTGCTTCACAGGGTCCCAGCCAGTGTCCCCCCTCCCTAGCCACACCCTTACATTTGTTTCCCCTCAAGGGGGGAAGGAGGAAAGGAGGTGCTTCGTCCCTTGTCTCAGACCCACTTTGCCTGCAGTTATTCTTGGCATCCCAAAAGATGTCCTTGAAATTAGGTCCCAAGGAGGGTAACTGGGAAGGGCAGGAGTGGCCAGCTTCAGAGCCCCTGGGAGCACTGGGGACTAGGGGAGTGGGTGTCAGGGGCAGTGGCACCCTCTTGCCCGCCTTTTCTCTCCAGTCCAGGTTGCTTCTCATCTCGCCTGCCCTGGGGGCACTGATGTCTGCGTGGGTGGCATTCCAGGTGTTCTGGGATGGAGGCTCCAGGCCAGATGGGAGGCCACAGGCAATCGGTCACCTACGTTCAGAAACTTCCCTCTGCATTCCGGGTGGAGTGGTGCCCTTAGCTTCATGCTTGCCACCCCTCCCTGGAAGCCCAGAGGTGCCCAGTGGCAACTCCGAGCCACACACGCTGGTACAGTCCCTGCGGTCCGGGCCGAGGCTGGGCAGACCCCTGCCCGTGGGGTGTGGGTCTGAAGTCCCGGAATGCCTGCCGGTAGTCACCGTGGCAGCCTCCCTATGCGGAGAACTGTACTCCAGGGACTGGATTACGTGGAAAAACGTCACATAGGAACGCGCGCCCAGAGAGAACTTGACACATCCGCATTTGTTGAGTACCTACTGCCATGTGCCAGGCCCTGTGCGGGAGCCTGGGAAAATGAAGTCACTGAAACCCGGTCCCTGCCTGGGAGGAGCCCGCAGTCTGGTGGGCCAAGACATCAGTTACATTAACAACGGCGAGCGTGCGTCAAGCTTCACAGTTCCACAACGAGCTTGTATATACCTTTTCTCAATTGTGAACATCCGGCAACACAGCCACGCTGTTTAAAAGCACATCAGCATCAGCGTAAACAGTCACATGACTGAAAGGATGAATAGTAACAGCAATAATTCATAGTCCTGTTTCAGAGCCAGAGTTCCAGCACCATTTGCTCCCATTAGGGAGGGTGCAGTTCTGCCACGCTGCCCAAACGGGGCGGACACCGGAGGATGCGCCCCCTGACGTCACACGCAGGGCGTCCGGAATCTTCGCCCGCTGTCTCCCTTCACTGCACAGCCCAGCCTTCCAGTCTCCCTGGTCCGGGGTACCCCACATCCCTGGCCTCCCTTGGAGTCGGATGGGGAGAAAGGGCCATGCCCTGAGTCTGACAGGCCGTGGGGCCACGCCCACCCTGTCTGGCTCATGCTGATGGCAGGCCACTCAAGCACAGCTCTCACCCCGGGTTCGGAGACTGGCTTTCTGGAGGGTCTCAAAGCCTGGCTGAGTCGGTGTCCTTGGGGACCCGCTGCCCTGGAGGCCTAGCTGTGCCCCTCCCCCCACAGTATTTTTCGGGGCAACTACCCTATCCATCCCCCCTGCCTCTGGATTCTAAACCAGTACTATGTGGGGTCTGGGAGGGAGCTCCCCATCACCAAAGGGAAAACAAACCCTCACGATGACCTGGTCTAGGATGGTCATCTTTTGGACAATAATGAATCTGATGGAGACCCAGAGTGGGCCAGCTCCTGACCTGGGGAACAGGAAACCAGGCAGAGGCCCGGGTTTAACGAAACCAGGGAGAGGGTAGGACCGGGAGTTCATCTGCGCAGCCTGAGCTGAGCGGTGGAAGGCGGGCTGCACTGAGGACCACCTGCCCCACGTGGGGCGGGGTGGGCGGCATCTCTCCAAGCGCAGGCTGGCCACAACCATGTCACTTTAGGGAGGTCGAGTCTCAGCTCCGAAGGTGTGAGCATCCCTGGGCACCCGCCTCTGTGGCCTCGCTCGGACAGTGGCCTGTCAGGCGGGGCGGAAAGTGCAGCATGTCAAAGAATGGGCATTTCTGCCCCAGGTCCAGGGCAGGGGGAGGGGAAAGGGTGGGTGCTTCTGTGACCGACACCTGGCCGCCTGCCAGCCCAACACAGCCTGCGGCCCTGCTCCACCCTGTGGGTAGGCGGCTTCCTGGCTCCCACACAGGACAGCCTTTCAGCCCTCCCGCCCTCAAGGCTGGTCCTGGAGGCCACGTATCCTGCTAGCAAGCCCCTTCCCCCAGTGATGGCCCAGAACTGTCTTAATAAAAAAAAATAATTTATTGTCAACAAAGGAGATATATACAACAGGGAAAGAGGGAGAAAGGAGTGGGGGAATGGTGAAGCCCCCAGGTGGGCTGTTTGGGCCTCCTGCAGGGGTGGAGCGGGAGGAGGTAATGGAGGCTTCCTGGTTCGGGAGCCTGAACAGGTGGGGGAGGAGAGGTGTCCCCCGAGGTAGTGGGACTCAGCTCAAACCCCGTGGCGACCACCTCCTTCTCGTGTAAGGCACTGTGCCACGGGAGAATGGTGGAGGGCTAGGAGGGGTGGGAAAAGGTCGGGGGACGGGGCAGTCCGAGTCAGCGAAGGATGGGGCGGGTTCTCCCCAGGCCCAGGGCCCTACCGCACGCTGGCCTCCACCACCCTTGCCCACCTTGCCGGGCAGATGTGTTTCTGTGCCCCCTTCCTTGCCTTCATCCTGCCTTGGCACCTGGTTTTACTCTTCATCAGGTGGCACAGCGGGGCAGCTCTGAGAGCCAGAAGGGGACACTGCCCGCTCCACCCCGCTTCCCCGGGGAGGAGGGACCTGCGAACCACCTGCTGCCTCTCGCTGCCCCGAGACGGTGGTGCTGGGCCCGACAGAACCACGGGCTGGCCTGGGGTGTCACCTGCTCCCACAGCCTTGGTCCCCGGGGGGTGCCTGGACCAGTCCTGCAGTGGGCTGACTGCCAGGGGCTCCTCCGTCCACGCGGATGACCTGCAGGTCCAGCGTCCCACGAAGTCCCGAAGGGGAACCTGTGAAGAGAGTGAGTCAGGACCCTTCAGACCACGGCCCACCTCCAGGGGGCTCCTGAAGGCTTCTGCAAACTGTATCTTCGCCGGTTTCCAGAGCCCTACGCCCGGCGTAGTCAGAAACCCAGCTGAGCAAAGTCTGCTTTGTACTTACAGAAGCTGGTTTGTCTCCCTGATAAACTATAAGCTCCTTGAGGGCGGGCTGAATCCCAGTCATTTGCTGCTCACCTCAGCAGCAACATACCAGGCTACTGTGCTGTGCCCAACACGGTTCCTGCGGCTGGGGGTACGTCAGTGCCTGGGGCAGCACAAGGGCTTTCCTGGGATTTACGTTCCAGTGGTGAGAGCCAATCATCAAACAAACGAAAAATGCAAAACGGTATGTATGGTCAGGAGGGAAAAGATACGCTAGGGAAGGGGAGAGGGAGGGTCTCATGAAGCTGACACTGAGATGGACAGGACGTGAGTGGTCAGCTATGCTGAGGGGGTGGGAGACGCAGCCTTCCCAGGAAGGAAGACCGGTGTGAGCACCATGCTGCGTGCACCTGCGGCAGGAGACGGTGGTGGGGACCAGTAAGGATCCTGGGATGAGGATCACATGCCACGAGGACTCACTTTTACCTGGAGAGTGATGGCAGGGCACAAAAGGGACCTTGTGCAGAGCAGGACTGGGGTGAGACTGAGGGTTTCAATAGGGACACTGGCTGCTGCATGAGACCCAACCATAGGGGCAAGGACAGGAAGCCAGAGACTAGTGAGAAGGCCATTATGGGAACCAGGCAAGAAGCAGCGCGGACATGGACGAGGGCAGCTGCAGTGCCGGTGGTGACAGCAAGGCAGACTCTGGGCACAGCTGGAGGTGGGGCTAACAGCCCTGCTGATCACCTGACTGGTGTGGGGTTTGACAGGGACAAGAGGATGACTGAGGGTCTGACTCAAGGGAACTGGAGAATGAGGTGGCCAGCTTCCTCAGAGAGGACTGGGAGGAGCAGACTGGCTGGGAGCGAGACAGCCAGGGCCCTCCAGACAGCCCGCTTCCAGGGTGTTCCCTGAAGGTCTCTGCTCCCATGTGACAGCTCTGTGGACAGAGTAAGGGCTTGCCAAGGCGGAGACTTCTGGAAACAGTGGGACTAAGCGCCACTTCTCCCTGGTAGTTGGGAGGTCAGTGGTGGGGGGTGAGGGGCAGGGAGGGAAGGGGAGCACCAGGAAAGGGGGGCTCCAGAGAAGCGGTAGAGGCGTCCTTTCAGAATCGGAGCAATGGGAGCCCCCAGGGCTAGAAAAGAGCAGATGTGGCAGGGGTGGGGGTGGGGTGGGGAGCTTACCAGCTAAGCTGAGCCCCTTCAGCTCCCCGGAGCCACACCCCCTTCCCTCCTCGCCCACCCCCACCTCCTTCTGCGTTTGTGCGTGGTGTGTACATGCGTACACCTTCTCCAGAGGAGGGGGCGGGGGCTGAGTCGACTGTTTCTCATCAAGGCTTTGCTCTGAGTAGTGGCTCTGGAAATGTCGCCACCAGAACAACAGGTGAAGGTGGCTGCCACCCACTCATCTTTCAGTGAATCTTTTTGAGGGCGTTCTTTGTGCCAGGCACCGTCTCAGGGGCCGAGAACACAGCAATGAACAAGACCCCGACCCTCACGAAGCTCGCATGCGCACACGCGATCTCTCTCACACACGCACACAGACGCCCCCCTCTTCTTTCTCCTTGGGCAGTCTGGGAACACGCTGCGTTGACCAAGGAACCCTATGCCAGGCCTCTGGGTCTGACTCAAATTAATCACCGGCAAGACAAAGAGGCTCTTTTCCCCACCATTTGTGAGTGGGCCCTCAGGACCACCTTCTCCTCTGGCCTGGGCAACCTCTTCACGTTCATCCTACAAGACGCCTGGGAAGTCCCGGAAAGTCTTCCCTCACCGCTTCACACATCCATCAGCTTGGGTGACCTGACCACAGCGAGCTTTTCCAACTTCTAAATCCTTGGTTTTTAAACTTTCAAGAGTGGTAATATCTTTTTATTCAAATAAAATCTTCAGAGAACTGGAATATATAAGACAACTCAAAGTGGAGACGTTCAGGTGCAAGCCTCACAGCTTTCTGAGAAACCCATCCAAGCTTTGAGATCCTGAAAAACAGCCTGAGACCATCGGCCAGAAGCCTTCACTCTGCATAGGACGAGTGTGGGCACCCAACTACCTCAGTTTCGTGGCCTCTGACCTGCATCCCCAGATGGACTACGAGCTTCTTGGGGACAACGGCTGCCTCACTTGTGTCATTTTCCGGAGTGCTTCACTCGGGGGCTGGGCTGCAGAATACTTGCTGTTGCACCGTTTAGTGTCTTCTGTGGCTTCCCGGCCTCGTCCGACCTCCATAGATCCTGCCACTGCCAAGAACGCCCATCAGTGCCCTCCGTCCCCCTCACGCCATTCAATCAGTGTGTTGGACCCCGAAGTCTCAGGCTTCCCGCACTCCCCGCAAAGGGACCTGAGATCTCAGGGATTCCCGCCTCAGCTATTCACCACTCCGGACAGGGGGGGTCTGGGCACCGGCTACCCCAGGGTCAGAATGAAGGCTCTCTTTTGAGAATGAAAGCAGAAGACCCACTGAGCTGTGGAAGGGGCCAGCTGTTCGGAGCAGCGATCCACTGAAGACAAGGAGACTCGGAATGCTCAAATCCAAGCAGGGCACAGTCTCGGGGAGGCAGGACTGGAATGGGCCTCAAGCTGAAACTTGACAGTTAAAACCATCAGCTACGGAAGGGATAAGGTCTGCCTCGAGATGAGAAAAAGCGGAGCCCATTTTGGCAAAAAAGAAAAACAAAAAAACCCCAAAAAACCCAACACCCACGAAGCGGCACACGTATGGACATGTACACACACAGCCAGGGCTCCATGCAGGGTCTGGCGGGTACGAAGCAGATGATTCAGTGACGTGGGCTGAAGCAGCGGCACGCCTGCCCTTCCCTTTCATGTGCCATCTTTCTCGGGCTCTGACTCCAAATGCTCGTTTCAGACAGGCCGGGCCAGGGCACTGCCTGGGTCACTCACTCCAAGATCGACTTCCTGAGCCCCAGATGCTGTGCGCCGTGCCTGGCGTGGCAAGACGAAGAGAGGAACCAGGCTCAGCTGCTGCCCTCTGGAGTGTGTTCGAGTCTCGCCTGAGCCCTGCCACCACTTGGCTCCCAGACTAAGGTGGGCAAAGCACCCCCCCCCCAAGATGTCAGTGTCCTAATCCCCAGGACTTGTGAATCTAGGGTGCTGCACGGCAGGGGACAATGGAGGCCACATGTGGAGTTAACGGCGCTGTCAGCCACCTTGGATGCTCACTGCACACAGCCATGAGGTTCCTAGGTGGGCAAGAGAGAGGCAGAAGATGCAGGCCAAAGACAGCACCCTGAGAAAGGCTCTGGGGGCCACTGTGGGCTCTGAAAACAGAAGGGCACAGAGCAAGGAATGCAGAAGGCCTCTGGAAGCTGGAAAAGGGAGAAAGGGCCACCAGAGCTTCCAGAAGAAATGCAGCCCCATGACAGTCATGTTTCAGCCCAGTGAGACCTCCAACCTCCAGGACTGAAATGCAAAGCGTCTGTGCTGCCCTAAGCCACCGAGTCTGCGGTAACTTGTTAGAGCAGCCACAGGAAACAAATATAAGCACCATGGGGATTTTTCTCTGGAAGACACTTTTGTAAGGACCAAGGGAAATGCATGTAAATCATTCTTAAAATCGGAAGAGCGTGCTGCAAAAACACGCTCACTGCCACCCTCTGCAGCTCACTGCGCTGCTCTGCTTACAGAGGTGTCTGCCGGGTACCCACCCACCCCCCATTAAGGGTCCCCAGTGGGCACCACTCAGGCTGCAGCTGGACTCAAACTTTGGGGAGCCTGACCTAGGCCAGCCTGATGACCAATTCCAGGACACGTCCAGGGACCTGCCAGCAAAGCCCAGCCCATATCCTTCATATGTGCCGGCCCCAGGCCAACTTTCAGGATTCAAGCGCCAAACCACCTCAAGGAGGCGAGAGCCCAGGGATGCAGCCTACCTGTCCCCCAGGTCATCCCCTCTCAGGGGCTCACCTGGAGAGGGGCTTTCTGGCTGCGGAAGGCTGCCTTCGGCCACTGTCCCCTCTTTGGGCGCGTCCTTGCTGTGTGAGGTCCTCGGCTGGGTGTGGGAAAAGAGCTGGAGGACGAAGCCGGGAGGGAAGGTGCCGTCAGTGAAGTGTCGGACCTCGGTGGGAGCCGCGAAAGTCTCTGTGGGTGAGTCAGGTGACGGGGGGTCTAGAAGACGGGACAGACAGAACTGTGAGACCAGGACCTAAAGGCCTGAGCACCACTCAGATGAGGTGCAGGTGCCATAGCCAGAGCCCCCACCCAGGGCTCCCCCTCCACCTGGGTCAGGGTCAGGGTCCAGGTCTAGGTCCAGGTCCAGGTTTTTGGTCATGGATCTGCTTCTTTTCTTTCTGACTGGCTCTTCCTCAGGGGGCTCCCTCCACCTCTGACCACGGGGCTTCTTATTTACTGGCTCTGTGGGAGGGGTAGCTGTGAAAGAAGAAAAGGTCACAAACCTTTTTAAGGGAACGTGCCTGAACCCTGCACCCTGAGGGCTGCTGAAGCTACCTGCCCAGTAGCCTCTCTCTCACCAGAACACAGGCCTGTGTCTCCACACGCCCCCAGCTCAGCCTCACTGCTCCCCATGACTAACCTGGAAGCTCAAGTGGGCGGAGTCCCCTGGGCCGGGTCCTTCTAGGGCGGGACGTGCTGTCCTCAGAGTCAAGGAGAACGACAATCTCTGCTGGCATCGTGTCGGGGTCTGGGGCAGAGTCAGGGTCTGCACCGACATCCTGGCCCGGGTCTGAAGGGTGCAAGTGCCCTGTGAACTCCACGCGTGCTCCCACAGGTCTGCCTTTCTCTCACCCCCATCCCACGTGCAACTACCTGAGTTGGGTGGGGATGACTGATCAGCTCTGACATCTTGCAAAAGGGCCACCCCCTCACTCCAGGCCTCCAGGATGTTGCTCTTCTCCGAAGGGCTCAGGTCCAGCGTGTGGGGGTGCTGCTCCAGGATGTGCGCACGCGCTGTGTCGGCTGAGGGGAACCGGATCTCTGCCCCACACACCATGCACAGCGTCCGCCCGCTGCCTCCTGGGCTGCTCCCCACTAGGAATTCCTGCTCCCAGGACACCTGCTGCCTGGGCTCCTCGCAGCTACTGCTGCCCGCCTCCAGCAGGCTGGGCCTCCGCGGCGGGGTCTTCTCCTGGTGGGCCACTATGGAGGGAGAGGAGGGGGGCGGTGCTATGAGCAAAGGTGCCCATGGCCAGCGTTACCTAGAACACAAATCTGCACACTTGGTGGTGTGGGGGAGGGGGAGGAGCATCCCCCCTGTGAGAAAGCTGAATAAATGGAGCCACAGCCACCACCTCAGAGGAACAGCCTTGCCCATCTTATGCCTCAGCCCTCCGGATGTTACGAGGGGCAAAGTCACCTCTGGACAGGGCCTGAGCGATGCTGCGGCCTCAAGGCCTGTCTGCGAGGATGACAGGAAAGCGGATACAACGACCACCCGACTGGCAGCTGACGGACTGAAGATTAAAACATCCTTTCAATGTGTAGTAAAGTTATCTAAAGACATTCTTTAGAATTTGCGTCACTAGTTAGCTCACCTGCGCCAACAGAAATGCCTTCCACCTACGGATGTGATGGTTCCCCTCCCTTCCTCGTAAACACCCCTGGTCTTTTTCTCCCACTCGGAACACTTCAGAGGTGGGCAAAGGCAGGTTAATAGTAAGGAATACGACAATTAATAAATGAATGATAACACAAGAATAAACTCTGTTTTGCAGACTCACATCAGCTGTAAACCCACTTTTGCCCACCCCTGTATTTGGGTTTCTGCCTGAAATCAGGAATTCCCCAATAGCTCTTCTTTTTGAGCCCCCCAAAATGTTTCTTACCTCTCCCTTAGGCCTCTTATTTTTAGCTTAACACCAGCCCATCTCTTTCTCCCTTTCCCTGGAGCCCATGAGGGGCTGGTAACACTAAACACAGCCCGTGTGCCTTGGCGTTCCCGCTGGAGTCTCCACACCCCCTTTCACGCTGGCCCCAGACCACAGGCGCACGTGTGTTTTCCCAGCAGGCTGTGAGGTTGCTGCACGTCTTCCAACTCGGTACATTTGTCCAGATTCCCCGATCACTCCTGCAATCTCCTATTCTTCTGTAATGGACCTGCTCAAATTCTCACCCCCGGGGAGCCTTCCTGAACTCCCACCCTGGCAGTTGGAAATATTCATGTGTCACTTCCAGGCCACAGCACACACTTTCTCGGGGACAAAGACAGTAAATTTTATCATCTTCTTGTTTCCACAGGGCCTGGCACAAAGGAGAGATGCCCAATGAGCCTTCGGTCAGTGAATGCCATGTGCCTGCTCTCTCCCCCTGTTGAGGCCCCTTCAGAAGGCAGGTCACCCCATCAAAAGTAGCCTCTCCTTGCACAGAGCTCCCAGAGCATTTGTAGCTGTAGCCTCATGCTCACTGGTCTGCCTGGCACCTGCCCTTTGTGCACACGGACCAAAAGCTGCAAAGGTAGGAGCTCTTTGTAGCTTGGCAAAGACAGGCAGCCCAGGCCGTGAGGAGAGCCTACGATTCCTCATGGGGTACATCTTTTGCCACAGGAGAGGATGGGACGAGCTATGGGAGGCCCTAATGCTTGGGTGCCATATGGAAGACATGGCCTTTGAAATGGCTGAGAACTGGCTTGGACTCATGAAGCTCCAGGCCCAAAACTGGGTTGTGCCTATCTCCCACGTGACCATGGACTGGAACCTCAACCCCAAGGGCAGTCAGGCTTTCTTTCCCACTACTCGTCCGAAACTGCTCACCCAGGCCACCAATGTCAAACCCAGCAGTCCGTTCTTAAACCTTACCTTCTGACCCACCACTTCTACTGCCTTTGTCACTCAGCTTTCTGGCTACTGCCCTGTCACTTCACTGGGGCTCCTCAGTCACCTGTGCCCATTCCTCATTTCATTCCCTCCCTCGTCACCTCTTCTCAGGGCTCTGTGTGGCTCCCTCGCCTCTTCCAGGTCGTTGCTAAAGAACCGAATTCTCGCCACGGCCTTCTCCGCCACCCTTCACAGCACAGAGCAGCACCCGATGTATGATACGCGGTATCTCCCTGCATCTCCCCGGGGGGCTGTGGGCTCCAGGCAGCACAGACTTTTGATCCTTCATACCTGTGTCTCCAGCACTAAGCACAGCACCCACATGCAGTGGTGCTCAGACATGTCTGATGAGGGGCTGACTTCATCTCCAGCCTGGCGTCACTGGGGCACGCCAGGACTCTGTCCTCGGAACCCTTCCTCTGGTGCTCTTGTCCCACTGCCTCCCTGCTGATGATTCCCATGGTTCTATCTGCAGCCAGCCTCTCCCGTGAACCGAGACCCGTCTCTCTAGCTTCCCGCCTGCCCTCCGATGTGTCCCAGGCACCTCATATCGACCACGATCCACCCTGAACTCCCGGCCTCCCCACACCTGCATTGAAGGCTGCCCACCTCTGCAAGAGGGAGGCCCATCCTTCCAGTTGCTCAGTTCCAAAGCCTTGACCTCATCCTCTTCTTCTCTCCCACCCCCAAACCTTTCAAGAAGCGTCTTGCTTCAGGACCTCTGTACTTGCGTTTCTCTCTAAAATGCTTTCCCTCCATGGTTCACTCCTGCACTTCCTTTGGATCTGGGCTCAAACTCCACCTTATTACAGAAGCCTTTCCAGACCACTTGCTATTCCAAATAAAACTCACCCCACTCTTCCCCCCTTAGCTGCTTTAGTGTTCTCTGAACCCCTTATTGCCACCTAACATACTACCTGTTTACTTATATCTGTCTGCCTTTGGTCCTGTGTGTGTGTGTGTTCCAGAGCCCTGGGCATGCCCAGCCTAAATCAGTGCCTGGCACAGAGTAGATGTCCCAGGTTTAGCTGCTCTGAACTTCTAGTTCCTCGTCCCCGAGTGGGGAAGAGGGCCACTCTTGTGGGTTGGGAGGCTTGAGACAGCCTCGTGTGGAACCCTCACTACACACCACCAGCCGAAGTGGGGAAGGGATCTCTGTGGCTGTGAGAGCTCCGAGGAGGACAGTGCGGCTAATTCCCTCACTTCCTAACCCTGCGGATTCTAAGCGGGTGAGAGGCAGTGCAAGCCGGCGGGCATCACTTCCCCCTGAGGTAAAAATGAATGGATTCGCCCACGACCTCTTTAGGGTGCTTTCCCTCAGAAGAGGAGAGGTATCCGGGAATGAAAAGGTATTTGCATTTCCATGATTAGCACTTCTTCCATTACGGTGGCCCTTTGTTTCCTCAAGGTCTGCAAGGTCTGGGGGACTGAAGAAATTGGTGGAAGGGGAGGGGAAACGTGTGATCCTGGCCCTTCCTCAAATCCCCTCCCGCCTCGGATCTCCCTCCTCAGCAGGCACTTCTTTCCCAAAACCAGGTGCTGCGAGCAATCCCATGTACCCCTGAAGCTCTAGAATCTGACACCTGTGGCTTGTGCAAGTAGAAGGCCCACAGAGGGAAGGGGAACTGGAAACCTATATACACCGAGGGCCCTTAAAATCCTCCTGGCCGGAGGCAGTGGCGCCTGCCTCGATCCTCCGAACTGCTCTGGACACCAGGCTGCCGCGCCCAGTCTCAGGCCTGGAGGCCTTGCCGCCCCTCGGCCTGCAGCACAAGCCTGGCCACTGGGCCTGCCTCCGCTCCGCAGGGCGGGAGACCGTGGCCGCAGACAGCCAGTTTCCACGGGGATCCCCCCACGGGTGCCGGGCCCGGGAGAGGGGGTACTCGGGCAGCAGAGGATCCCGGGCGTTGCGGGTGTAGATCGAAGGCTCCAGACCCTGGGCGGGGGAGGGGGGAATGCAGGGAGGCCTGAGATTCCAAACCGGGTGGGGGCGGGGCAAGAGCGCACCGGGCCCAAACAGAACCGGGTGGGAGGTGAACCCCATACCCAAGAAAGGCAGAGGATGCCCGGGCCCCTGCTGGGTGGGGGGCAAGAACGAGCCCCTGATCGTGACGCGGAAGTGGGGTCCCCTCCCATCCTCACCTCTGAGCATCGGCTCGGGCCGCGGAATTACCGCCACCACCACGGCCTCCTCCTCATCCTCCCCTTCCTCACATTTCAGTGTCACCTCGAAGCAGTCGAGTGCGGCGCCTTCGGCCTTCAGGGCCATAGTGCGGCTGGGGATATCGCGGCGGCTGGACGCTGGAGAACCCGCGCGCAGGCCTGGGCGCTCCACCACCTCCCGCCTGCACCACCCCCTCCCCGCCGCCCCTCGCCCACTCCCCGCGGGTGGCCGGACTTGAGACGGGCACGTCCGGGCCTCCCCGAGACCCGCTGCGTCGGGACCCCGGACAGGGAGAGTTCAATCCGGGGCCCCAGCCCCCTGCCGTTCCCTTTTATGGAGCCTCATTGTCGGCGCCCGCCGAGCCGGCCCGCCGCGAGTCCGCCCCCAAACGCCGCGCGGCCAATGGAGCGCGGCTCCGCCCCGCGCACGCGGCTCCGTTAGAATCTCCGGACTCGCCGGGCGGCGCGAAGGGCCGGCGGAATCTCGGCAGCATTCCGATGTCGGGCCCCGGAGGGAGCCAGCACCTCAGGCTCACCCTGGAGGGGTCTTCCTGAGTCCACTGGGTTGCCGCCCTACGTTGCCATGCTGATCGGGCAGTTTGCTCGCCTGAAGTTTTAGATCGGGGTCCCTTTTGCCTTCCCCCGACCAAACCTGCTTCCTCTAGAAGATTCCCATGGCGGGAACAGAACCGGTGGGGAAGTGGAAAGGGTCTTAGCGTGGGAAGTGTGGAAACGGAATTACTTCCGATCTGCCAGCTATGTGATCTTGGGCACATTATCTCTTAGATACTTATACTTTCTTTGGAAAAGCATTGGGGAGCCTCTAGGCAAGGGCAGGCGACGATGATGAGCCAAGTGGAGTGTTGGGGTATGCAAACCTTCCCTAATGATTATGATTTCTAGTTTTATTTATTATTTAAAAAATTTTTATAACTTATTTCAACCAGAGGATACATCTTGTAGCAAGATCTCAAGAGACTGAGATAAATGCTTCCTCTGATTTCCAGTTTTCTGCTTTAAGATTTTATTTACAGAGAGAGGGGAAGGGAGGGAAAAAAGAGGGAGAAACATCCATGTGAGAGAGAAACATGAAGCACGATCGGTTGTCTCTTGTACCCTTTTCCACCGGTGACCAATCCTGCAACCCAGGCATGTGACCTGACAGGAAATGGAACCTGTGACCTTTCCCCTCACTGGACTACAGCCAGCCAGCTGGTCAGTGCCGATTTCCAGTTTTTTAAAGTGAGTTCAGAAATTGTGACCCTCCCAAGGTCATACAGAAATCCTAGAGAGCCCCAAGACCAGAGTCGTGTCGCTGCAGTTTCACACTCCTGGGGCTGGGCTTTTACCGGTGACTTACGGGGGCATCTCCCTTCCAGCATCTCCCCAGACGCTCCCTGAGATTTCAGTGGAGATAATGTCCTACACTGAACCACCATCTTAAAATGCTTCTGTCACAGACCAAGCACAGTAATGATTCAGAATATTGTACAGATTTGTTTGCCTGTGGCAGTGCTCCCGTGAGATTATCATGGGGCTGAACAATTCCTACAGCTTGCTGACTTCATGGTGGGAGTGCTTTCTGAAAAGAGTGACACCTCCTCAAGAAGAGTCTCAGACAGGTCCTTCCGGAGGTGTTCGGGAAGAATGATGGTCGTCAAAGGAGATGGCAGCTCCTTGCCTGTTACTGCCCTTGAGGAGCCTGGGGCAGGGGTCGGGGTGGGGAACAGGTGGAAGTGCTGTCTGACGTGTGTGTTTGTGTCCTAGTGTCAAACCAAAAAGTTTAAAAAGTAAAACAAATTGTTTTCCTTTTTGTTAAAGGTTTTATTTATTTTTAGAGAGAGAGAAAGGAAGAGAGACATCAATCAGTTGCTTCTCACCCCCCCCACCGCCATGGGGGACGTGGCCAGCAACCCAGGCATGAGCCCTGACTGGGAATTGAACTGGTGACCTTTTGGTCCACAGGCCAGCGCTCGGTCCAGAGCCACACCAGCCAGGAGATTTTCCGTATTGCCCTCCAAGGTGCAGTTTCTCTTCTCTTTTTGTGTGTCGTTCAGGCTCCAGCGAGTCTCCAGACCAGACTCCCCTGCGCTTCCAGCTCTCGCTGGGGGGGCTGCTGCGGCTCCAACGCACTTGGGCCCCCTGTGTTCCATCTCCTCATCTGTGCCTCTGGTGTGGGAGCGCGGGCAGCTTCTTGTTTCTGCCCCTCTCTGGGTCGCCTCACTGCTCCCTGGTGGGCTTCTTGGCCCTTCTGTCACCCCGGTCACTAGTGGTGTCGCCAAGAGCTGGCATGAAATGATCCATTTTACATTTTTATTTTTAAAGATTTTATGTATTTATCTTTAGAGGGGAAGGGAAGGAGAGAGAGAGAGAGAAACATCAGTGTATGGTTGCCTTTTGTGTGTCCCCTGCTGGGAACTGGCCTGCAGGGAACTGGCCTGCAACCCAGGCATGTGCCCTGACTGGGAATCGAACCTCAATTGTCTGGTTCGCAGGCCCGCACTCAATCCACTGAGCTATACCAGCCAGGGCCCATTTTACATTTTTAGAGTGGTTCCTGTTTTCCTGTTTGAACACTGAGTGATACACCCGGTATTATTATACCAAGCACTGGATACACATTATGGTTCAGTCCTCACAAGTCTTATGTGAAGATTGTATTGTTCCCATTTCACAGAGCAGGAAATTGAGGAAGTTAAATTATTTGCCCAAGATAATAGAGCGAGAGTTTTATTTTATCAAATCTGAGATGAACATTCCCCGCCCCCCACATTTTAACAGCTTTGAAATGAGGATGATTTCTGTAATGGACATCAGTGAAATTTTAGGAATATCAAGAAAGTATAAGATGGTCCTTCTGCTGGTGCGATCTGGTGACTTAAAAAAATACATATGGGGTCAAAATATATTCCTCCTATAGGTGGGCAAAAGTAGGTTTACAGCTGTTTGTATGGAAATAGCACAAGAATTAACGAATAATAATACAAGAATAAACTGTATTTTGTGTGCTCGCAACTGTAAACCTACCTTTGCCCCACCCTGTATGCGTCATTCCAGGCTCCCAAAACCTTAGGAATGGAGAGTGATAAAGGTGTTTTTTGTTGTGTAAAGTAGATGAGTTTCGGACCTCACCCAAGGGTGGGGCTGGTTGCCCACAGGATTCAACAGGTGACTGGACAATTAGAACTTTCAGTCCTCAGGCCTTGATTTCCAGGGAGGGGGGCTTGAGGTTGAATCAGTTGCCAAAGGTCAGTGACTTAGTCCATGGGGACTAAGAGATGAACCCTGCTAAGTGAAATAAGCCTGGTTGTGATAGACAAATACCATGTGATCTCACCTGTAAGTGGAAGTTAATCAACAAAACAAACAAGCAAGCAAAATGTACCCAGAGATGTTGAAATAAAGAATAAACTGACAGTAACCAGAGGGGAGGCGAGAGGGGATAATGGCGGGGAAAGCGGGAAGGGTCATCAAGGAACATGTATAAAGGACACGGGGACAAAGGCAAAGGGGGGCAGGATCAAGGGTGGGAGGTGGGGATGGCTGGGGGCTGTGGGAGTGGTGGGGGGAAAATGGAGACAATTGTACTTGAACAACAATAAAAAGAAGAGAAAGAGAAAAACAAAAAAAGTATATACATATAAAAAAAGTACATCTTGTCAGCCATTTTTCAGAGAGCTGTGTGGGGGAACCAGAGCGCTTCTGCCCCACCTGCCACCTGCAGGGTCCCCAGCTCGGGGGGGGGGGGACTTCAGGGCAGCAGCTCCTTCATTTAGGACCTCACTCTGTGTATGTCTTCATCTGGCTGCGGTGTGTGTCCTTTAATATTCTTTGTAATAAATCGGTAATCTAGAGAGTAAACAGGTTTTCGTGAGTTCAGTGAGCCATTCTCACAGAGTAATTAAACCTGAGGAGGGTTACGGAAAACTCGGATTTGTAGCCAGTTGGTCAGAAGTACAGTTAACAGCTTCAGTTGGAGGGTGTTGCTGGAAACACCAATGTGTGGCCCGGCTGGCAGCTGAAGCGAAGGGTGGTCTTCTGGGCCTGGGGCTTTTACCTGTGGATGCTGATTCCATCTCTGGTTAGACAGGTCATGACCGAGTTGGATTCTTGGACACCCTGCAGGGTGGAGGGGAGTTGCTTGGTGTAAAGAAGCCAACGCGCACATGTGCGCATGCACTGGAGTCGGGTCTGGGAGGGGTCGCAGGCAGACAGTGACGTGACCCACAGAATGAGACCAGGATGAGCCCACAAAAGTGACTTCGCCTTTTTCTGAGTGGTCGCTGCTCCTTTCCCAAAGATCCAACTAGCCCTGCTTGACTCCTCCTGCCTCCGTTATAAAAATGTCATAAAGATACCCAGTCTCTGAATCGCTTCTGCTTCTGGACAGCATTCAGTCCAGGGCTGCTCCCCATGTCCCCAGTCCCTCCACAAGACCGTGGGACAAAGGCAGGTGCGTGAGGCTTCCCTGGGGGCGCGTCCTCCTTCACTGCAGCGAGTTAAATGAACCTCGCTGTTTCTGACTACAGGTGTGTTTCTGTGAGCGCTGACAACCTTAACCAATTTCTTTTGCTTATGTTTTCATGTTTATACCTATGAAGAGGGATGTGTAATAAAAAATCTATGCCAACATACTGGTAGGTCTCACAGAGCTCTTTTAATAAACATACAATACAATTCCAAGACATAAGAACTCATTGAGTCGGATTTGGCAGCATTTTTTGCTGAGGGGTACATACAATAATGGTTCATCTTGCTGCCCGCAGTGTGCTAGGTTTTTTAAAATATACGTTTTATTGATTATGCCATTACAGTTGTCCCATTCCCCCCTTCACTCCCCTCCACCCTGCACACCCCTCCCCCATCCCTCCCCCCTTTAGTTTATGTCCATCTGTCACAAGTTCTTTAGATTCTTTATTTCCCCTACTATTCTTGCCCTCCCCCATCTATTTTCCCCCCACCATCTATGCTACTTATTTTCTGTACCTTCTCGCCCCTTCTCCTCCTCCCACCCCCCTGTTGCTATCCCTCCATGTGATCTCCATTTCTGTGGTTCTGCTCTTGTTCTAGTTGTCCACTTAGTTTGCTTTTGTTTTAGGTGTGGTTGTTAATAACAACTGAGTTTGCTGTCCTTTCACTGTTCCTATTTTTTATCTTCTTTTTTTAGATAAGTCCCTTTAACATTTCATATAATAAGGGCTTGGTGATGATGAACTCCTTGAACATGACCTTATCTGAGAAGCGCTTTATCTGCCCTTCCATTCTAAATGAAAGCTTGGCTGGATAGAACAATCTTGGTTGTAGGTCTTTGGATTTCATGACTTGGCATACTGCTTCCCAGCCCCTTCCTGC